GTATAATTGAAAATTAGTGCTCTACACTGGAATTTAGACAACAACAATTGTAAAATAGAATTATAAAATACAATTAAAAAAAGTTAAAAAAAATAAAACAAACTAACTATATATATATAATAGATAAATAACAAAGTCCTACTGTATAGCACAGGGAACTATATTCAATATCTTATAGTAACCTATAATGAAAAAGAATATGAAAACAAATATATGTATGAGTAGAACATTATGCTGTACACCAGAAATTGACAGAACACCGTAAACTGACTATACTTCAATGAAAAAAAAGAATGGAGGCCTGGTCTAATAGCCATGGTGCCATTCTAAGAAGAGGAGGAGACACCAGGCCTGTCCACCATGTGAGGACCCAGCAAGGAAGCAGTCATCTGCAAGCCAGGAAGAGAGCTCTCACCAGTAACCAAATTGGGTGGTGCCCTGATCTTGGATTTCTCAGCCTCCAGAGCTGTGAGAAAACAAATTACTGTTGTTTAAACAGCCATTGGCATATATTATGGCATCCTGAGCTGTTTCACCCACCTTCTCTGTCTCTGACTCACCTCAATTCCTGCCCCCAGTGTTAGGAAAGCACACTGAAGCCAGAGGAGCCAGACCAGGATCAGGTTCAAATTAGGCACTAAACGTCTTTGAGCTTCAGTTTTTCCATCTTCATAGGAAGGATATTAATTCCTGTTTCCCACATTTGGAGGGACTCCAATGAGCTCATGTTTGTGAAACTGCCTTGTAAACGTAAGGCACCGTAGATGAATGAGCTGCATCTGGTACCTGCCCCCTTCTCTTCCTCAACCAGCCTCCCCTTCCAGCCTCTTCTTGATCTCTCATTTCTGTCCCTTCCTCCAAGTCACCTATCCAGTATGTTTTCTCACCATCCAGTCACCAGTCATTTGACTTCACTCCAATTTCCTCACTGTCCCAGCATAGCTCTCCTTTAGAATAGATACGCTGGCAACAAATACACATTTCCTCTATCTTGAAATGTCTTTATTTTGTCTTCATTCTGGAGGGCTATTTTTGCTGGATATAAAATTCTGTATTCACAGTTCTTTTCTTTCAGCACTTTAAAGAAAAAATGTCGTTCTATTGTCATCTGGCCTCCATGGTCTCTGATGAGAAATCTATAGTCATTTCAATAATTGTTCCTTTCTTTTTTTTATAAATTGAAAAAATTATTTTTTCCTTTTTTTGCTTATTTTTGATTTTAATCATTAAAAACAAGTTTGAGATGGGGAGGTAATTAGGTTTATTTATTTATTTTAGTGGAAGTACTAGGGGTTGAATTCAGGACCTCGTGCATGCTAAGCACATGCTGTACCACTGAGCTCTACCCTCCCCTCCATTCTTTTCTTTTGTAACACATGGTTTTTCTCTAGCTGCTTCAAGACTGTTTCTTTACCTTTTGCTTTCAGCAGTTTGATTATGATGTGTCTGAGTGGGGTTTAAAATCTGTAAAGTTATGTCTTTTACCAATTTGGGAAATTTTAGGCCATTATTTTCCTAATTTTTTTTCCTGAGTGAATCTCTTTCTCGTTGGTTTCTCGAATTCCAATGAAACAAATGCTAGGCCTTTACTATTACAATTTACTTTTGTTCCTCAAGTTTCCATAGCTCTACTCATTTTTGTTTACAATCTCTTTTCTGTCTTCAGTTCACTGGCCCTTCCCTCTCTCCTCTTCACTCTGCTATTAAGCCCATCCAGTAAATCTTTTTAAAATTTGGATACTGTATTTTTTACTTCTAAAACATCTTTCTGGTTCTTCTTTTTCATCTCCATTTCTCTGCTGAGAATGTCTATCTGCTCAAGTTGTCTGCCTCTGTCCTGTGGAGCACAGGGATAATAGCTGCTTTAATGCCTTTGATAATTGCAACACCTGTCAATTTCAAGTTGGCATCTGTCATCTTTTTCTTTAAATACTGTTCACACCTCCCTGTTATCTGTTAACATTGCATAATTTTGGATTATATCCTAAAAAGTATCAGTATCATGTTAGAGTTTTAGATTCTAAGTCTAGTGTAATTCTCAGTAGGACTCTTAATTTTTTTAAAGCAGGTGATCAATGTGCTAGGCTCAGAGTGTAAGCATCTCGCCTCCTGTGAGCAGTGGTTCTAATCTCAGTTTAGAGTCCAAAGCCTTCGCTCTCCAGTTTTGGGTCTTTCCCCTCCATGTACAGCTTAGGGGAGAGCCTGGGGCTTATGCAGTTCCTGTAGTTAAAATCGGAGAACCCCTTTCTCCAGCTCTCTTCTCTGAGGTTACCCCCACATGCTGGCCAACAGGGCTTCTCTTCTCGAAACCTCCACCCCAAAAGACAGGGCTTCTCTTTAATTTCAGCTGTCTGATGGAAGCAACCTAAATGTCCACTGACAGATAACTGGATATATACAAGGAACTACAACTCAGCCATAAAAAAGAATGTAATCATGCCATTTGCAGCAACATGGATGGATCTGGAGATTATCACACTAAGTGAAGTAAGTCAGACAGAGAAAGACAAGTATCATATGATATCAATTATATGTGGAATCTAAAAAATGACACAAATGAACGTATTCACAAAACAGAAAGAGACTCACAGACAGAAAACAAACATATGGTTACCAAAGGGGAAAGGGAGTGGGAGGGATAAATTGGGAGTTTGGGATTAGCAGATACAAACTACTAACTACATATAAAGGAGATAAACAACAAGGTCCTACTGTAGAGCACAGGGAACTACATCCAATATCTTAAAATAATCTATAATGGAAAAGAATATATATATGTGTGTGTGTGTGTATAACTGAATCACTCTGCTGTACACCAGAAACTAACACAACATTGTAAATCAACTACACTTCAATAAAAAATAATTTTAGCTGTCTAGCCTTCCACTCAGCTCCAAACTGGGGCCCACCTTCAGAGCAGAACCATGAGAGAAAAGAGGGAGAAAAAATGAGGATATTTTCCACCATCTTTGACACACGAAGGCCCCTTTATTCTAGTTTTTCTGCCCAGAAATATGGGGTCCCTATCACGTTTTAGCCACCTGCCCCACTGCCACCATGCGGCTCCAGTTCCAAAAAAGAACAAAGCAAATGGGAAAGTCACGGCCCTTCAAAGTATCTGCTTTCACTTCTCAGAGTTGCTTTTTGTGTTTTGTCTGGAGTTTCCGCCGTCATCACTGGGAGAGACCGAGTGGGCTCACTCCATCCAGGGGACAAAGCAGGATGAGTTCTTCTTGACCGCACCAGATGTTTCATCATGTTTAGGTTTATCTTTCCTTTTCATACATCTTCTCTCTCCTGTCTAAATTTTTTGTACTTCCTCTATCCTCAGCTCTTGTCTTCCATCATTTTGCTGACTATTCTACAGTTGTATCTACAATTATACCCGCATCTAATATATACATAGTATATATAATACGTAACATGTAATCTACATTGTATATATGTGTGTAAATGAGGTACACATACATGCATAGCATTTTACACACACACTGCACACCACACATGTATAATATTTTATTGTATAACTACACCCACATTTATTTACCATATCTGTTGTTGGGCATTTTTGTTCCCACTCTGAGCCCACTACAAATGGTTCTGTTATGGACATTCTGGTACCTGACTCTTCGTGAATACATATTTTCCTGTGGGGTATATACATTGGCTAAAATTAGTGGGTCAGAGGATCTGCATATTTTCAGCTCTAGGAGGTACCTGGGCATATTTATTTTTACAATAATGTCTCCCAGGATTTTGGTACACAGCAGAGATTGAGCGGAAAGCTGCCCTAGAACCTCCTATGGCTGCCTCTTCCCCATCTCCTGTTTTCTCTCTAGCTGTCGGTCCATGGCCATTTCACCAGGCAGCCTAGAAGCCACCCTCAGCCTTCACAGAGATCTCAGAACCACCGCAGCACTGTCCTCTCCAGGCTCCGGGGCGCTGGGGCTCAGCCGGGAGCCGGCATCTCAGACCAGGAAAGCCCTGATTACTAAGGGAGACAGCAGCCCCCAGGTGTTCAGACTCTGCAGACTGGTCCCCTCATCTCCCCGCCTCCGTGAGAGAGCAGGGCTCCTCCCGCCCCCCCAGGACCTGCAGTCCTGTTGTACCCCCCATCACATTCTGTTCCTTGTCCCCACACCGGGCATTTATATCTCATTCTGGTTTTGCCAACACCAGTGTCTCCCCCTTTTGCCCTCAGACATTTTACCTCCTTTGCCCCTTGTTTTGGGGACCCCTGTAGCCCTAGATGATAAGCCCCTCTATTCTACCATCTCCATTGTCCCCGTGCGTTCTCACCGCTCACCCTCTACAGGGGAAAATCCAAACAAAGGCACTACAGGATCGTCAACTCTACTGCGTCAAGGTTACCTTTTTTATCTTGCTGTCTGTCGTCTGCTGCAGCTGTGAGTTCTTCTGAATGTGCCTTGTCCTTGTCTTTCATGATCAGCTCCCCAGGAGATAAAAGCAGGTACCACCTCTGGATCAGATCAGTGCTGGTCCCAGAACCGTTCCTACGACTGTCCCCTAATTCAGAGAGCTGCTGCTGCTGCTGCTGGGACCTGAATTCACCCAAAGGCTCCCCGTGCTCCGTCTCTATTTCATACACCTCAGGAATGAGGCTGAGGTGACAGAGAAAAGCGACGAGATGTATGTTAGCCAAGGCCCTTGCAGGATTCAGCGTAAACACAGCCAGATAACAGAACAGGAATCAGTTTGATGCGCATGACTTGAATAGTCCAGACGCAGTTTGTGGATGAAACTTGACTGAGGGGCATTTTTTTTTTAATATTCCAAGACATTTGTGTCAGTGGCTTAGGGCTCCAAACTGATGTTACCTTCATCACTGACTGCTTATTGAGTACTTAGGGTTGGACTTTGCAAAATCAGACTTAAGAGTCTTTCCTGCCCGTATTCACAGGGGTTCCATTTTAGAAACAGCAAATGTTTTTGTTGCTTCTTTGTGAGTTTTTCTTTTGCATCTGTTTCTTTTGCTCTAACATTGTTACATCTAACCTTTGACCTTAGAAGTTTTCTGTTGTGGCAGGACCCCATATTTGAACAATATCATATATCTACTAATAAGTATTAAAAAGGGCTTCTTTTTCCATAAAAGCTACAGACATGGAAGTATGGTTCTTTCTAGTATGAATCATTCTATCTGCTGGTAACACCAGATCTGTGCTGTTGTCACAAATCAGGAGCATTTAAACACACATACACACACACACACACACACACCTCACCCCACAGCCAAACTTGCATCTCAAAAACTAAAATGCCATTTATTTCAAGTGATCGTCTTAAGGACTGTTTCCGGCTGTAGTCCCACCCGAGCTGTGAATACGTGTCGACTCACAACACAGTGTTTTCTGTGCCATCATCCTCTGGGTGGGGAGCAGTGACGTTAACACACCGGGGTCTCAGATCTGCAGGGGGATATGCGTTGATGGCGCCTAGAGAGAGAGTGGGCTGGTTAGTCTGAACATTACCCTTCCTCATTTGGACTATCACTCAAAGTCAGGTCATCTTCCCCTGTGGCTGGAGGTGTTTTTTAGAGCAAATTAATCCTATAAGGGACTCAGCCAAGTAGGCAGCCTCTGATGCTGCAATACCTCCTTGGCCAAGCCCACGAGATCCAGCAGCAATGGGGTCCAAAATTCTCCCCCTCTGCGTGTCACCAGCTTGTGACACAATTCCAGGATCTCTCTGAATCTCTTCTATCATCTGTTTCTCTCCCTTTAAAAGGAAGATCTTTCTAGAAGACAGTATTAGCTATTGAAATTGACTACCTGGTTTATCTCGAGGTTGGAAGAAGGCACTTTCTTTTTGCAAGTGACAAGCTTGCTACTAAATATAAATCCAGACTTCCAAGATTTCTGAGGGTTCCGTGAGCCCTGGGCTACGTGAGCGCTGGAAAATCTGCATCCCTGGGACTCCCCGCTGAACTTGCTAGGGCTGCAGACCGCTGCTCGTTGTATCCTGATTCCCAGCAGAGGCCAGGACGTGCTTGATGCTGCGGGCTCTCAGGTTTGCTACTGTAACCGTGTCTGCAATTACAACTTAGGGACAGTGGTGGGCAGCCTCTCTCAAATCCCCACCGTAGAAAAACAACCTTATAGCCCTTGCCTGGCTGTCCCTGAGCCAGCTGTCTGAGACGGAGGCTCTAGGAGAGATTCTTGTCCATGGCTCTTAAGAACTGAAGTCAGAACCAAAACTGACAAGATAAAATAGAAGTCCTTGGAGCAGGCGGGGGGACTGGGGGGCAGTGTTTCCTGCAGTGGTCTACACCTCGTTAAGGCGTTAGTGACTGAAGTGTAGCTTAATGAACGAGGGCAGGGCTCTGAGCTCAGGATGCCTGGGGTTAAGCCTACAATTTGCCAGCTCTTAACTGTGCGCTTTCGTGCCATTTATTTAATGTCTCTGAACCTCAATTTTCTCACTTGTAAAGTGGGGATGCTAATACTTTCCTGTGATGGATGGGTACAGCCCAGCAGGAGAGTGCAGGCCTAAGTATGCACGAGGTCCTGGGGTCAATCCCTAGTACCTTCATTAAAAAAAAATTATAAATCAACTACACTTCAATAAAACTATTTTTAAACTTAATACTTCCCTTTGAGGGCTGTCCTGAGGATTAAATGATACCATAATCAAAAAAACTTGGCACATAGTGAACACTCACAGATTAGGGTTAAAAGACATCCTTCACTTTCTGGCAAAGACCTTGACAGGACAGCAGCAAAGGTCAAGGTCACTAAGACCTGGGATTTTTCTCTGTGGTTTTCTCATTGCCTTCTAGACTGCACCATTCTTGACCCAAGTGGGGATCGTGGATTAGATCCCACTAGTGAATTAGACACAGAGACATTGAATCTATTGCAAATGCAATAGAAGAGGAAAACTTTAACGACTTACGTCTGATTGAGTGAACAAACGGCTTGACAAATTTGACGATATAGTCCAAATCTGGCTTGTGGGATCGGCCGAGCTGGACCAAGTGATGATCCAGTGGGTGGCTGGCTAATTCTTCTAGCTCCCTGTCGTTGTGCACAGGACCAAAGGAAAACACAAATATGGAGTAGCCCTGACACTTGGCACTGAGAGACACATTTCTTAAAACTTCCTTGTCTAAAGGGTTGGTTTCACCAGCAGATATGACAAAGATCACTTTGTTTTTCCTGAGGTTGGGGGTTCCTACAAAAACATTGTCCACTGTCCACTGCAGGGCCTGGCCAATAAAAGCATCTCCATTGAGCTGCTGGAGAGAGTCTTGGAGATGCCGTTTCATTTGGTGTCTACTGTTGTAAGTGACCAAATCGAATTCCAGGTAGACGGGGCATTCTTCAGTGTTGGGCATGTAGCCTGGAGGAGAGTAGGTCAGGACTGCTACCCTGTCTCCCAGCATGGAGATCAGTGGGTCTGGGGCCACGTGGAAGTAATCAAGCACCGAGGTTACAAACGCTTTCACTTCCTTAAACTCATCCTTTCCTACTCTTTGGGAAGCATCTATGAGGAAGGCCACATCCATGTAATATTCTTGAAGAGAGGCAGCGCTAGGTTCATAAGCAAGACCTGGTTCTTCTTTTCTGCCATGGTTTTCATGTCCTGCAACAGAATAACTCAAGTCACTGTTTTTAGTAGAAGGATAAACTTGGAACTCCTAGCCAAGGATGGCAGATACACAGCATGGGGTGTCACCATGCTTCCTTCATGCTTCCTTCCCACACCCGCGGCAAATCACTGGAATAGAATAGAGAGCCCAGAAATAAGCCCGCACACTTATGCTCAATTAATCCATGACAAGAATATACAACAGGGAAAGGAGTTTCTTCAATAAGTGGTGCTGGGAGAACTGAACAGCTACATGTGAAACAATGAAATTAGAACATTTTCTCATTCCATATGCTAAAATAAACTCAAAATGGATTAAAGGCCTAAATGTAAGATCAGAAACCATTAGACTCCTAGAAGAAAACATAAGAAAACAGTCTTTCATGTAAATTGTAGCAATAATTTTTTTGGATCTGGCTCCTGGGTAAAGGAAACAAAAGCAAAAATTAACAAATGGAACCTCATTAAACTTAAAAGCCGTTGCATACCAAAGGAAACCATGATAAAACAGAAAGCCTACTGATGGGGAGAATATATTTACAAATTATATGTTTCACAAAGGGTCAATATCCACATGAGATAAACAGCTCATAAAACTCAATATCAAAATGAACAAACAAACAACTCAATCAAAATGGGCAGAAGACCTGAATACACCTTTTTACAAAAAAGACATACAATGGCCAACAGGCACAGGGAAGGATGCTCAACATTGCTAATCATCAGAGAAATGCAAATCAAAACCGCAATGAGATATCACCTCACACCTGTGAGAATAGCTATCGTCAAAAAGTCTACAAATAAGAATGTTGGTGAGGATGTGGAGAAAAGAGGACCCAAGAACATTGTTGGTGGGAATGTAAGTGGGTGCAGTCGCTGTGAAAAACGGTATGGAGGTTTCTCAGAAAACTAGAAACAGAACTAGCAAAGGATCCAGCAATTCCATTCCTGGGTATGTATCCAATGAAAACAAAGACATTAATTGGAAATGATACACTCCAGCATTCATAGCAGCACTATTTACAATAGGTAAGATATGGAAGCAAACTAAATGTCTGTCAGCTGATGACTCGATAAAGAAGATGTGGCCCATACATGATGGAATAGTATTCAGCCATAAAAAAGAACGGGAACTTGCCATTTGCAACAACATGGATGGACCTAGAGGGTATTATTATGCTTAGTGAGATGAGTCAGACAGAGAAAGACAAATACTCTGTGTTTTCATTTTTATGTAGGTAATAAC